AAGAAATACTGCAGGAAGTCAAAACATGTCTTCACAACAAATTCCTAAAATAAGCTATCTGATATTAGCACAGATAATGTCCACATTTAAATAATGACTTTCTATCATTAGGTTTTTTCATTGTCAGTGACTTAACAGTATCTTAATAAATTGGGCTGATATGCAATATGCGCTATACAGTATGATTTTTAAGTTATTCTACAATATAATACTAGCTGATTTTCAAGCCAGGAAATGAGGAAGTTGGTATAAATCTATATAACTACTTCTTGTAGCTCTCAAAAAGCCTTTGGCGCATCACTTGTATTCGCATGCATGTATTGTGGGTAAAAACAACAAAATATTTTATCGGAAGTGCCTTTCGTTTAGACAGTGACAATGTTTTAGGGGTTTAAAAACACAAAAATCTACACTGACCAAGATGCAAAACTCTGGTCAGATCTGCTCACATCGCGTACGCATTTATGTCACATACATCACCACCTAACGTCACCACCGAGCTGCCTGGCATGCATACCCAATCAAATTCCACACACTTTTGCGTTATCGTATGCACGCAGATTTCCTCCTGAAAACACTCATCTAAACGTGGAATAAAAAGTGAATATATACGTATACGTGTGTGTGTGTGTATATATATATACATACATATACACACACACGTGTGTGTGTGTGTATATATATATATTTACATACATATACACACACGTGTGTGTGTGTGTGTGTGTGATATATATATATATATATATATATATATATATTAAAAAAATGTGTTTCTCACCTTCCACGGTGGTAGGTCTCTCTCACCCTCATTCAGCTCGGGTCCTGCCCCCTGCCTGTCCGGCCTGGGAGCTTGAGAGTTCTGTGCAGTATCTTTGCTCAGAACTATATATATATATATATATATATATATATATATATATATATATATATATATATATATATATATATATATATATATCCGGAAAAGGTGAAGCAGATTGGACCTTAATTAAACCAATCAGCCAATCAGCTCTCATCCCAAAACATCATATAGTGACGTACATGACTCTTCCCTATGTGTTAGCAGTTGTCAAAATGTTTTCTAATTGGACGTAGACAGCATGTAACAGTCTGATTTTTGTTTTCGTCCTTACACGATGCATTTTTATCTGAGTAATTCAGCTTTAAGTCATCTTGTGTCGGAAATCCTCTCGTCCTCTAAACATAAGTCTCTTCTATCACCAGTGTATGACAGACACAGGTTCATATGTGTTGTTAATGAAGTCATATGCTGTTTCCATGTCCTGTGTGTGTGTGTCTACTGTACAGTGTCATACAGTGAGCTGCATTGCTCACAGGGGTTGTGTTAGGTAGCATGTCTGTGTGATGACTCTGTAATGTGTGGGTAGTGTTAAGAGCACTGTCACCGTTTAAGGCCGACAGAGGACTCAAGGGCCCTCCTGGAAACGCCACTTATACCTTACAGGAAGCATACACAACTATGATTTAATACATTGACCACATTTATAATCTGAACTGGGATGACACAAGTGAAGAAACAAACAGCAAAAATAAACATTAATTACTACAACTACCACATGTACATATCACCCCCATAGCTTCCTTTTTTGTGTGTGTGTGGTTTTTGTTTGTTTGGTTTTTTTTGCTGCCATGGTTACACTCTTTAAACCTGTCGTCTTCTTTTGGTCTCATTTACAACAGTATTTTATCCTTTTCCGTTTTATTGTCACCCAATTACTTTCTCATATTCTCATCATTCACTCTTTTTTCCTCGTTTCATCCTGGTGTGGTTTGGTGCCATTACACACGACCATTACAATCCCATCCATTCCTCTTTTCAGTAAACCAGAAAACCAGTGCTACACAAAGCGCACTTTTTTGTTCCTAGGCCCGCATTGACACAAATGAGTGACGAACGCAGCACCGTTTATTTTGTCCCTCTCGAACGCATTTCCATCTGAATGATATGGCGCTATTCTTAGACCTGTGGGTGGATAGATGGGCATCAGCTAGATTTTCCTTTTCAAAGGCTTTCTTGTGCTTGATGCAGTAAGCCATTTGTTGCTGAGCACGGAAATGCACATGCTAACACTAATTATTTGCACAAAGCTCTGTGTAAATACTGGGTTTGGGTTGGAGGAAAAATAGGTTTGACAATAGCAGTGCCTTTGACAGCTTGCTTGGCTTGTTTCTGTAAGTTTTTTAAAAGTTAGCTAACACAAAATCTATTATGCTTCTGGAGATTTGTCAATACTCTATAGGGAACAACAGTGTTCCTGTCAAACAAAATGCACCTCCCATATAAGGCCAAAAGTTCACTTACCAGTAACCATTCTATGACCTTTATTTTAAAATATTTCCCATCTTTTGTAAGGTGGCGCACATTATTCAGCGGCTTACATCAACCTCCTCTAGACTCCCTTAAATGTTTTCTCACATTCATGAAACATGTGGTCATATTGCTCATAGGGCTGAGAGCTGTTCATTTTCCTTTCTTTGATAGATCACATTTTTAAAAATCTTTATCAGACTTTTAATCAGGGCCATTTCACACAAAACAGTTCAAATTATTCTAAATATGGACTCCACATGCTTCTTTTGGCTAGAGGAATGACTGTAGATATCTCAAATTAAAAAGCACAAAGTATATAATTTAAAATAATTGATTCTTGATTTATTTAAAATATAATTAATCCACATGCTCTAGCTGCTTGATTATGGAACAAAAACTGAAATCATAATTGTTTGAAATGGTTAAGTACAGTCAAATTACCAGAGAAAGTATTGACCTATTATTATTCTCTTGTAATGTCTTCTTGATTAATGTTTTGAAAGCTTGAACAACTTGGCTATGCTCCAGGTTTTGTTGGGCAGAATGATAGCCCATAAGAACAGGTAATTATTAATTGTTTTTTTCCTATTACACCATTTTCATAAACGATTAGAGTAATTATAACCACAGTCATAATATGAATCATTAAATTGGACTACACTATATGTAATATTTCAGCACTGAAGTAAATTTTACAGTACACAGTCACTGCTCACTGCATTTTCACCTTATAATAACCTCATTTTGCCCTAAGGTTGTGTTTCATCTTCTGTGTATTTGACATGATGTTTCTTGATGAGCTTTAAGTACATGCGTGATGCCTTTTGAACCTGGTAAACGGTTGTCAAATACTTTAGACATGCATTTGTATTTCATAAGACCTATCAAATCAGCCTGTGTCTGTCAAGTAGAAGAACTCATCTGTGAACGCCGATGTTTAAAATGAGCATTATGACAGAATAAACGCTTCTTAGAGACCTTTAACCTGTCCTGGGGGTTTTCCCTGTTTTGCCCCATTGAATCAGAAGAGCTGTAGTGAGCGGTGTAGTCACAGAGCAACTACAGCAGCAGATTTATTGATTAAACAAGCATGAACTAATCACTAATGGATCTCTATGCTGCACAATCACAAAGATGTCAGACCAGTATAAGGAAAGGAATAAAGAGGATGCCACAGCTATGAGTCACCAAAATTTTCAAGTAATTCAAGTAAAACTATTCAGTAGCACAACAATACAGTCTTAAAACATAAAAGCTTTCTGTCATTGAGCAAGGGTTTAAATTAATCAGTGTATGATTTGATGTCCTTAAAGGCACAGTATGTAACTTTCGGAAATCGGAAGGTAAAACCATACTTCTGAACATTCTCCTCTATGGAGTTTTATGTCATACAAGGAAAGATTATAGACAAAGGAACAACAATTTTATGGAAGCAAGCAGGAGGCGGCCCTCCTCCAGACTAAATAATGTCAGGTTTGTGGAGGTGCAAGCCCACTCAGAGTAAGGATGCTTGTTTTCATAAGTTATAGAGTGCAATAAAAACAACCAAAAAAAACATGCTTATTTATTTATTTTTATTATTATTATTATTATTTTAATGTAATTAATAATATTTGGCTAAAAAGCTACATACTGTTAGCTTGATTCGTCAGCCGGTTTCACGAAGTGAAAGAATTTGTTCGCTGGACGGTAGGCGGGTACTTTTTTTATTTCACCAATCTCTGCTATTTGGTTGTGACGTATGTAATGCGCCAAATCCCGTAGGAAGAAGGGCAATAACGTCTTTACCCTTGGTAAAATTCAAGATCTCGGGAATCGTTGCCAACACAGAATGTATGACTTCGTCTACATCCATCTCGACCACTTTGTTTACTGTTGTGCTGTACATAAAAGGGACCCAGACAGGCGCTTGAGTTTGACGTCATGGCTTCACAGCTCACAGCTGGTTGGCCGATGTGCTTCCGGGGTTCTTGCAAACCATCTAGTGTATTCTGACTCCTGACCTAGTCGCTGGAGAGAAATGAAATTGAGCGGAGGCAGTAGGTGGTGCCAACTTGGCTAACATACTGTGGCTTTAATTCTAGAATCTTTCTCATTGTTGGCCACACCACATCCCGCCATTTTTACCTCTTCTTCAGTCATATCTCAACCCATTATTATATATATCCTCCCGCAAACAAAAATTACAAAATGTAGTCTCAGTATTTACCATGACCCATCTTTGCCCTTTCTCCATCAGAGAAACAAGATCCTCAGCCACCTCAGCTTCTCCATCTACTCCTCTTAATGGTCTCTGGGGAAAATAGTTTGAAATGTATCACACTCCCCCTTCATCACATTACTAATATATTATTACCTCACCAGTGTCTGTGTGATACTTTTATTCCATTAGTTTACTATTAAAACTGCTTACTTATTCTTCACTGTTTGAACCTATCTTCTCTACCAGCAGAAATTCCCAGTAATTGAGGTTGTTAAAATCAAAACAAGATTAGAAAAAGTTGTGAAGACATGCCTACAAATTACACATGATTATTGACTATGTGTGTTGAGACTGTCTTTTGCAATCTCTTCAGCAACACTTCAAATCATATAAATATTGTGCAATTTGGACCCTAGTGTGTCTTCGGGTTACACTGTTCACATGTTTTTGTTACTCTTTCAGCGCTCTCGGAGGATCTTCTGCACTGCACATCCCAGCCTTCCCCAGTGGAGGATGCCTGATCGACTATGTACCTCAAGTTTGCCAGTTACTCACCAATAAGGTAACTATTAACATGGCTGCTCTTGCTCTTGTTGTTTCCTGCATGATATTTAAAGGTCATATATCACGCAGAACTGACTCTTGTGAGCTTTATACCGTGTTATTATGTTGTTACCTCCTCGAAAACATACCTGAAGTTGTGTTTTGTTTCATTCACACGTTTGAGTAATCTTTTATTATCAGTCTGTGTACATCTCCAATGCTCAAAGTGCTCTGTTCCACCTCGTGATGTCAAGCAGTAGTGTTCAAGTTAACAGCTCCTTTTACCTTAGGTTTAGTAGAGATTGGAAATTCCAAGGCTGAAACTATCCAAATGATTCTAGTGAAACTGTAGTTTAAAAACAGTATCGCACTTCCTGTAGAAGAATTCAGCCTAAATATGCAGGATTTGTGTGTTAATCGTGTGAATGAAACAAAACACAAGATACAAAACATCCAGATATGTTTGTGATCAGGAAACAACATTACAATAGATAAGAAAATAGCATAATATGGGCCCTTTAATTCAGCTCTAGCCTCAGAGCTGTGTATAGCCATTTACTTGTTAACATGTGTACTGATGCACGTATGTTTGGAGATGTGGGCGTCCTGGCCGATCTCCATAGTCTGTCTGCTGATTCCTAACTTCCACAGGTTGACAGGTAGCTATGCAGAGCAGGAGACGAGATGTAATGCCCTTTCGCCCGGGGGGAGTAAGAGAAGCCCATCCCCCACATGGCCAGTCCCCAGACCCTCTCTCACTCTCCTCACCCACACATAATGCATACTGATCGCCCCTGTCTCCCCTCTCTATCCTCGCTCACCTGGACGCTAACTACTGAGCTAATAATGTCTGCTACATCCTTGTCCTCAAATGGCCTACAGGCTCCGAGCTCCACATCACGTGAACGCCCACATGTTAGAGGAATAAATGTTAAAGGAAATTTGATTAGCTTATTTTGGGTTTGTTTTATTGAACTTGACATCCGCCAAGTCAGATGCCAGAGGAACATATCCTGAATGAAACTACTGAACCTTGTTTGGGTTAAAGTGCATTTTGTAGAACAATATATTATTGTATTATTACTTGATTTGGCGGGATAGTACACAAGGTAAATATTCATCATAATGTACATCAATCAAGTAGCAGTTTGTTAAGAAATGTAGAAAATAAATAGTTGGAAAATACAGGAATTAGAAATGAGTTCTATAACAGAATACTACTTCTGTCATCAATTCCATCCAAAATACAGAGACAGTTTATGCTCAAGGAAGACATTTTTATGACAGTGTCAATATTTAACAAAATAAAGGTGTTTTTATTTTGTCAAATCATAACTATTTTGACCCTTGACATTATGGTTCTAGGTAACATACCTCTTTGTTTTATCATATCTTTTGCCCGTGTCTAGCCAGGAAGTAAAATTCACCAAAGTTTCAAAACTAGAAAAGACTAGGCAAATGTTTTAGCAAAATCCTGAATCAATGTTAACTATGTTTAAGAGAAATTATTACACAGATTGTAAAATACAAAAGCCCTTTCATAACAAAGACTGTAGAATTAAATCAAAATAGCATTTAAAAAAAATAATAATAATGAGATTTTCATCAGTAATTATCCATCTATATTGTCTGTCTAGAAGCCTTCAGTTACCATATTTCAGTCTTTAGTTGATAAAAATGTATAAAAAACGTATTGATGTACAACAGAAATAATCATTTGACAAACCCGCTAAAAAATTGCTGATTAATCACTTTCTAAAATAATCGTTCTCTGCAGCCCTATTTTCATTTATGTAGCACTGGACTTTGCCCCCTCTGTTAAATTTAGGGCAAGGCCTTCGAACACACTGTGACAATTGCATGCACAGATAAGAGGGAACCAGCACAAAAATAGATTTCTACAAAAATAGTTGCATGAACAAACCCAACAGACTTCCTGTAGAGATAATCATACCTCTGAGCATCCTGAAGTGTGTTTTTCCATTACAACATATGTATGTCACTTCAGCTGGAAAACATTAGAGGTGTGTGATTGTCATGTGACTAATAATCCATATTTATAGTATCATAACACAAATTATGCTTATAAAATAAAATAAATCACTTTTAAAGACCTTACGCCTACAGAATATTGTTCACATCTATACTAAGGGCCATTACTCATCTAAACAGCAATAATATCAATTTCCCAGACACCAGCCTGTGCAGTCACTTATCACATACACCCACTTATTCCAGATGCTCCGAGTGCAATGACACAATGTAAAGCATACCTCAGCTGTGAGACAGACAGGGACTCTGCACCTGGTGTCCATATCACATCTTCTCTCATTTACCCACTGATATTTTAGATCAGTTGTTCTCAAATAATAACTATTTTGAAAGGACATTGCTCTCCAAGTAGAAGCTAAAACACCTAACTGAAGACTTGTAACATACCTAAACTATGATTTAATGTGGTTCAGAACTGGTTTATGACTTAAAAAGGTCTTGTCTTGATCAATTTTAAATCTAGACTAAACTCTGATTAAACAAGGTAGAAACCTGCTCTAATCTAGATTGTATTGTGTAATCCTGGTCTTTAACGGCAAGTCTCTGCCGTAACCAGATAATTGCTACATGTAATACTCTTCATAACTAACTATTGTTAAAGGGGTGTGTACATGACAGTTATAGTTTGTTGAACTGTCTATGTTAGACACAATCCTGTGCACACACATCATTTTCTCATTTTAAATTCAATAATGTCAGTTTTGGATAACTCCATACTGCATTAGTTTTACTGGTTCATGAGAGATAATGGATATTGTACATGTATAATATTACCTCCATAAAGATGCCCTTTTAATTCTTAAGTCTTTTTGATTACAGCAGTGTTCACATGGTGCTTCATTATATGTTGTAGTGGAAAGAAACACTTTTCTCAACTTGTTTTCAAAGCATAAAGTATAAATGTGTGGATTACTGCCAATGAAAGCCTTGTCTAATCCAGGGACACTTGTTAAAATGTTTAATAATGCACCCTGTCCCTCTGAAAAGTTAATTAATAAATAACGCAAATGCTCTTTGATGTTTTTTCTTATTATCTGTGTGTATTAAGGACCCTGCACACAGTTGAAGTCCCTATCCTTCTCATTTTTTTTATTTTTTATTTTTTTATTCCTGTGGCACATTTGTTTGCCTAAAAGAAAAAGGTAATAAAGAGATTCACCTTGGTTTATTATCTGAAAGAACAGACAGGCTCTGTGGGTTGTACGAATGCGTAGGTGCCATTTCTCAATCACACATCAGGGTGCACTTCCGGTGCTGTTGCATCAGCGCAACGCTGGCACATGTTCAGACAGTCAAACACAAAGAGTGTACGGAACGAGGCCTGGGTGTGGGCACCTGCAAATACCTGCACAACAGCATCACCTGTGTTGCGTCATGCCAACCTCCAGGCAGCCAATCGTAGGCAGCGGGGGGTGGGACTTCCTTTTGAGTGTAGGTGTGAGAGTTCAGTGATCTGCAGTTCCCCCTGAAACCACAGTCGCTCAGCGGAACTAAATAAACAGTATTGAGTAGTGGCCTTGCAGCTTTTCACTTATCTAAATGCACGCCTCCACTGTCCCATGTAAACAGCATTGAACAGGAGCTGAGTCACAGTGTGTTTAAGCTGCCTTCAGACTGTGTGCTCCACAGATTACTGCTGTTCTCTTTAAGAACACCAACATTCACTCATAAACCATGAGTAAGCACAGTAGTGGCTCTAACAATACACTCTCCTGCTGTAGTCCTCATACTCCACACTAGATCTGACTGTCCTTTATCTGTCATTATCTGTAAAGGGGAGACTGGCTTTCTCTGTCTGACAAAAAGTGAGGATTCAAAGAAGTCACTATTAATTCAAGAGGCACATTGTAGATGTTTGATGATATATAAATAAATACCTTTGTTGATGTAAAAATTGCCATGATCAATTTGCCAAACAATAATGTGTGTTTTTTGTACGTTAGCTTAAACAGCAAATGAAAGGACTAGGCACACAGGTGGCTGGTGGCCAATCAGATACTAATCTGATAGTAGTGGGGAAAACTATTATCACCTGTACTTCCTGAGTGTAATAAAGACATTTATTTTAAATCCTATTCCACGTTTTCTTTTGGTTTTGATTTTATGTCACACAGCAATTATTAGAAATCTGTAATGATTGTACTATACACAAAAATATTAGCATCTGTACAGAAGTTAGTAGTAGTTTGCAGTGTTTGTGAAGGATCAGGGTGGCCTACAGGCTGACCATAGATTTTCTAACCTGACCACGGGATTTATAACCAGCACCCACTATGGTCAACACTACCTCAGCCTTCTCTTTGGGCTTAAATATATGACACAAAATAGACTCTTGTGAGATTTAAGATATGTTAGAATGTTGTTACCTCATCATCATAAATATACCTGGAGTTGTGTTTTGTTTCAATCAAACATGTTTGAGTAAGCCTTTATTATTAATCTGTCTGATCTATTAATCCATATTCATCTCTAAAGCTCAAAATGCTCTGTTCCACCTTGTGATGTCATGGACTGGTAGTTTTCAAGTTAACAGACCTTTTATCTTTTGTTCAGTAGAGATTAGCAATGTGTGTGACTGAAACAAAACGCAACTCCAGGTATGTCTGTGATGTGGAAACATTATAACAGTTCAGAAAATATGTATGTAATATGGGCCCTTAAAATACTCATAACAATATTTTAAACAACATCTGTGGCCCGGGCAAATATAACAACAAAAACCACAGTGTCTTTCCTTATATGGATTGGCTGTGGTCCTCCAAAGGAAAAACATCAAAGCAAATCATAGACAATTAGAAATGATTGAAACTTGATTAAAATTTTATTTCCCAGCCTTACCTACATCTGCATTTACATCTCACCACTGGATTGAAATGTCACAACCAAGTTACATTAAAGGATAATCTGAAATCCCATAACAATGTTCCTACATCAACACTGACGCCGTATTATGTTATTTTGTATTCAGGTCAAACTGAAAGCTGCTGTTGAAAGGTCTATATCTCTTAATCTTGCTTTTCTTTGGCCTTGTTTACACTGTGGGCTGGTCCACAGGTAACGCGTCTCATAGCATTAGCTTTTGGTCTAGAGAAGGTTGAAGACAGGTGTTGACGGAGCTAATATAAATGCACTGATGTGATTGGAAATACAAAATACGGTAATGGTATTCATGCTGTAAAATGTGTAGAAACCTAGCTATTATTATATTTAATTCATATGAAGAGAAAGATATTGAACACATCACAAAAACAACGCACAGTTCACATCTATACTCACATTAATACTACTACTACTACTAAATAATTACTAGTCCTATTACACTACTGGTCTGTCATTACTGGAATGTTTCACAGTATGGCATTAAATGTTAGCCAGGCTAGTTCCTCCGCTCAATTTAATTTCTCTCCAACAACAAGGTCAGGAATCAGAATGCACTAGATGGTTTCCTAGAACCCTGGAAGTTGTAGACTACACACGGCCAATCAGTGAAGAGCTGTGAAGTCATGACGTCAAACTCAAGCGCCTGTCTGGGTCCCTTTTATGTACAGCACAACAGTAAACAAAGAGGTCGAGATGAATGTAGACGAAGACATACATTCTGTGTTGGCAATGATTCCCGAGATCGAGGATTTAAAGCCGGAACAAAGAGAATGTTTGTTGAATTTTATCAAGGGGAAAGACGTTATTGTCCTTTTTCCTACGGTATTTGGCGCATTACATACATCACAACCAAATAGCAGTGATTGATTGAATTTAAAAAAAAAACGTACCCGCCTACTGTCGAGCAACTGAATCCTAATGCGGTGAGGCCAGACGGTTTCCACCAAGTGAAACTGGCTGATGAATCAGGCTAATTAAACGTAGGCCTGGGTATCATTCAGTCAAGTTGCTGTTACGATACATACATACATATCTCAATACAGTGCACTTTCAATTCAATACGATATATTTGAAACCGATTCAATACGGTTCAATAAAAAATAATGGCTAAATGATGACTGTGATACTAAAAGACTTTGTTAAGTCACTTCTTGTGCAAAGTAAATATGAAACACACCCATTTTACTCATCAAAACAGTGAAAATGTCAAATGTGTTGCATGAACGAGTTTCCTTCCTCTGACCAAGCAACAAAACTGTAGCGCTGTAACAAAATCATTTTGTAAAATATACCAAAAAATACTCTTGGCGATCTTTTGATACAGCAGCCCACAGCAGATATCGATACTGTATCATTGCATTAAGTGATACGATATATCAATATTTAGATATTTCTGCACACCGCTAATTAAACGTGTCTCTTAGTATTTTAATTACAGATGATATATTGCTTCACCTTACATTCTTCTACAATTATTTAAGTCTACTGTAGTTGGTTGGTTAGTTTAACTTATAGTAATAAAAATAAACCAAAAAAACATGTATTCTTACTGTGAGAGGGCTCCCATAGATCTGACGTGGAGATATTCCAGGCAATGCAATGACATCTCCATAGAGACAAGTGTACCCTCCACCAGAAAAGTTACATCTTGTACTTAGCTGTGTATGTGTGTATATTTTACTGCATTTGAAATAGATTTCTAACTGCACTCTTCTGTCCATTAATTAGTGTGATACAAGTATTGAGGTTGAGGAAACCTTGGACTGCTGACAAAGATGTTTATTTTAATAGCAGACATTTTCTATCATTTTGGGTACACAGAGTCATAATCTGTATTTTTTCAAAACCACTTCAGCCTCTTCACTCATTGTCTTTTTTGCAGGTGCAGTATGTTATCCAAGGTTACCACAAACGCAGGGAGTACATTGCTGCTTTCCTGAGCCATTTTGGAACGTTAGTACATCCAGTTATTACCTTTTCACAGATTTCTCATATTTTAAGAGCTGAAAATAAACTACAAAACTGTTTTGTTTTGCAGGGGCGTTGTAGAGTATGATGCAGAGGGCTTCACAAAACTCACCTTGTTGCTCATGTGGAAGGATTTTTGTTTTTTAGTGCATGGTAAGGATGTTAAATCAAACTTAATGATATGAATATTTCAGCTGGTCTTAATACATATCTTTTTCTGGTTTATAGTGGATTTGCCATTGTACTTCCCCCGGGACCAGCCCACCCTCACCTTCCAGTCCGTTTACCACTTCACAAACAGCGGTCAGCTTTACTCACAAGTGCAGAAGTCATATCCATACAGTCCAAGATGGGATGGCAACGAGATGGCCAAAAGAGCTAAGTAAGTATTTTTCCATTGGGTTTTTTAAGTGAATTTTTCCATTTGAGGGCAGATAATTAGCATGACAATTGTTGACAAAGTTAGGGCCCAAAGCTCAAAACCTCAAAACCCAAAATACAGCAAAGGAAATGATGCTACAATCTGCAAAACAATCCTAAAATGCTATTGCAGTTCCCCTTGGTTCCCCACTCTAAGCAGTCTGTACTGCGGTTGTATCCTTGGGCAAAGCACTTAATATTTGAGCTGCACGATTAACTGCTATTGAACCAAAATTGCAGTTTGAATGGTTGATTGATGAATGGAGATTGATTGTTGAACTCTAACCTGATAACTTGTAATTTAGACCTCCTCAAAAAATGTACACAATGCTTGCGGGAATTTGTCAGTTCATATTAATATCTTTCACAAATGTTAATGCTACTGGATGTGTTTAAAATGTCCACTGTGAACTGAATACAGATTTAAAAACACAAATCCCAATCGCATAATTTCACCCTTAGATTTTCTCCATCTGCTCTACTTCACATGCATTTCTTCCTGTGTCTGTATTTAAAGAGGTAATTAGCAAGCCCAGCAGTTCTAAATGTGGCCATGACAACTGTCTAGCGTGTTTATAAGCAACATGCACAACCAAATGAACAAATAAAAATGCTATGTACTTTAGTTGTGATTAGAGCAGTAGCTCTCTGTACGCACACGCCCTGAGTACATAAACTGACATGACCCCGTTGAAATCTATAGGCCTCTGTTTGTTCTTGGCAAAAGCAACATTCATAAACGCAGCTTAAAATGATCCGTCTGACATGTGCTTTGTGCCTTTGTCTGTTTCCCAGAGCTGAGCTGCACATTCTGCTTTGATATTTGAATTATTTTTGTATGTATTTATATTTACCTTATACTTACAAGCATGAAAATCTCCCTGATTCTTCCATAGCTTGTGCTGGTGCAGATGCATTTGGACTATTGTAGTAAACAGCTTTGCTTTCATCTCCTCTTTACCACACGCTGCGCTGGGACTGACCCAGTGAATTTGTTCTTTGCTTTGAAGCGGCAGGATCACAATCATTGTCACATGTGGATGTTTAGTTGGCTGTGCGTTTATACTGTTGTGTCTGTTGTGTCTTCAGAGCGTACTTCAAGAGCTTCATACCTCAGTTTCAGGAGGGAGCCTTTGCCAACGGGAAACTGTAGTCTTATTGGCGCGCCTGCAGAGACGCGATGTGTGTATGTGGCTGTGTACCTGGAAGACTTTAAAAGTACTGTGCAAGTACTAAGACAAAGTGCACTGACTGCACCATGAGTAAATCTCAAGTTTCTTTTTCCATGAAACTGATAACTCTTAATCTGCTCCTTCACTTTACCAGACAGAGTAATGAGGCACTTCCTTACTTTAAAAGATATCCAGATATATTTGTTTGAGTACACACAGTTAAAGCATAACAAGAAAAACATATTTGTTGTTGGGGCACACAGACACCTGTTGCTGTTCATTTCTTGGAATACTTCTGATTTTGATTTGATTGCTGAACAGGACCACCCCACTGTTTTGGTGCCGCTATTTGTGAATCACAATTCTACTAATTTGGCCCTGGTCTGATTCTTAAAGGTGCACTGCTCAAGTGTTTTTTTAGTGGAAGGTCCGTCACCTACTTGCCTCCATGAAAATTTTATTGCTTTGTCTATTATCAGCCATTGTCTATCTATTACAAGATAGACAAGCAGGTTACAGGACTACGCTACTTTATGATTCAGATCTGTGGAGAGTCATTCCTATTCACAGAGGGAATTATTGTATTTCTGAGCGTTAGAAAAACCTGTAATGAATAAATGCTAGATGTATATGTCTACAGTTATACCGTGAAACATTCTAACCAAAGCAATAGCATCTCCATGGAGACAAGTAGGTAACGGACCCTCCATCTTTCTCATAACGTTATGCCTAATCTGTTTTTACCATTAGAACCATTAGAGCTAAAACTCCACTTACAGCCGCTGTTTTGTCAATGTTGTTTTTGTTAAAGTCTATGTAAACAACATAGAAACTGTCACCATGAAGAGCTGTTGGAATGCTGGAGGAATCTTTGTTTACTGATTTTCCTTTGTCATAAAACTGTTCACCTCTGTTTTCACTGTAAAATGCTGTTATATTTGACCATTGAAATCCCTGTGAAACTTTTACTGTTAATTGTTATGTAAGTTAAAAAAGAATGTTACTCCAGTACAATAAACATGCATTTTCATTATGAGGGTTTTGTCTTTTTGTCTTAGGTGGCTGGTATCGAAGTGTCCTAGTGTAGAGCGGGGAAAGAGTATGAAAAGATAAACTGGTATATTACATGTATATTAGAGTTACTGTCCGACCATTACCTCCCATACAAACATACAGAGCCTTAAGTGAAATCATCTTAAAACACCTGGATCTATGCAATGGAAAATGCTACTCAATACCAATTTTCACAATGATAAGGAAAAGTTTCAACACAACATAATTGTCATTTGTTTAAACTTTATTGAATCTATTAATCTATATCTAGTTTGAAAATTATTTTTTGTAGGATTAGAATTATTTTTTTTAAACAAGCCTAGCTCCGAATCACAACATAAGTTGCTGCCCAGAAATGTTAGTTATTTTATGCACACTTATGTAAAAAAAACAACAAAACAAAACAAAACAAAAAAACAGCCAACTCTTGTATTTACACTATCACTTAAGATCCTATATCATGCTAAATTGGCTATACTAACTTTTTAACAATGTTATATTGCTGTTACCTGCTCAAAAACATAGAGTTATGTTTTGTTTCATTCACATTAAAAACACAGTAGAGCACTTCTTATATTACCACATGACATCATAGGGTGAAACAGTGTTTTCTGTTTGAGAGAAGAACTCAGCCTAAATGTGCAGGGTTGGTGTTAAACGTGTGAATGTATATATAGGTATATTTTTGATGAGTGAACAAAATTAAAACATAAATCAGAAAATAGCATAACATGGGCCCTTTAATGTTTAATAATCTCAAACTGTTCTACCAGTAGCACACATAGTAACACTACAGAGTGAACAAGAGGAAGGCTACACTTGTGTTGAAGTAATGCGTCAGCCCTGGTTCATTTGTGTGTGTGTGTGTGTGTGTCCAAACGCTGTGTGCACGTGCCTCTGCTGGAGCGAGTGGAGAGGAGTGTGTGCGCTTGTTTTCATCATTAAATCTGAGGGTCAGAGTTAGGGGTCCTGTCCAGCCCCAGGCACAGCCTTTTGCTATATTTATTGTTGGTAATGCAGCAACTGTCAAGTCCAATCCACAACTATAAGCTGAATGTATCTGGGGCATTTAATAGCATCAAGGCTCTTAATAAAATAATTAAAATGCAAGATTGTTTTTGTCTTTTTCACTGCCTCACTCCATGTTTCTTAGCATAACCTTTGTCGACCTGCTTTCAAAACATTTGCTGTGCCAGAGATATGAGCTGTTCTCTTTTGCAGAGCTAGGGGGCTGTGGTAGGGAGAGGGGAGCATCATAACGAGCACAGGAATAGTTTCACTTGACAGTTGGCTCAAGATGTAATGACTACTGCTCCAAAAGTACAATTGACTTTTAATAATATGGGAGAAGGTGGATATGTGCTCTTGTCCACAATGTGAAACAAGTTTTGTTTTTTGTTTTTTTTTTTATCTTTTTTTTTTTTTTTTTTTTCAGTGATATTAGAGGTATACTCCATAACTTTTCTGGTGGAGGGCTTGTCTCCATGGAGATGTTATCACTTGGCCTCAAATGTTCCATAGTTTGGTGTTAAGCCTGAATCTATCTTTCCAGGGGAGCCGCAGGATCTTAAAAGTCTTAAAACGGTCTTAAATTTCATATTCCTAAATTAAGGCTTTAAAAAGTCTTAAATTCAACTGTTGTCTAAGTCTTTTTTTTCACAAAGGTCTTAAATTTCATTAGCCTATTTGTTTGTATACTCAACCGGGCTGCACTGTAATGTTAAATGGAGCGAGGGGAAAAAAACAAAACAAAACATGAAATCGTGTAAAATTAAAGAACATCTAATTTGAAGTATGTGCAAACAATACTTAGTTTGTCTTGTTATAATGTTATAAATGATTTTTTGGCCATTTTACAAGCAATGCACACTACTATAAATGAGTTCTGAATGAGATTTTAAAAATAAATTGATTTATTTTATGTTACTTCAATCAGTCAGTAATGGTCATTATTAGAACTGGATCTGGTGTTTTGTCCCTGCATAATGGGTGTGCTGTTTTAATTTAAATTTAACTGGTCTTAAAAAGGTCTTTAAAAGTCTTAAATTTGGGGTAGTCAAACCTGGGGACACCCTGCTTTCATGTATTCACTTACTGGTGCTTTTATTGCTCTAAAATACCTTGAAAAAACGCACATTTATGTGAACGGTGAAGTCGCTCTACAACTCTGACTAGTAACTTTTCTCCATGGAGATAGATTCTAGCCTAAACAGTCTCCATGAACACAAGCAAGTGGCAGAAAAGTTACATAATGTATATAGTGGACCTTTTTGTTTTGTTGTTGTTTGTTTTTTGTTTTCCTTTTTTTTTTTTTTTTTTATTAACAATAAGGTTCAGGTCATATTCTTGCGATCACTAGACTTGCAAATTTGCCGCAAAGTTCAAAGTAATCTGTTGGTTTTATTCCACCAATTAACTGAAGTGTTCCAAGTTTCATTAAGGATTACCTGTTAATCCATTTCTTTGAATCACACTGTCAAGCCCTGGCTCAAATTGAATAACTCCAGACATTACAAACTTTCGTGCAAAAAACTAGACAGCGTGCCATCTTCAGATCAGCCAGATGGGAGGGGACATTGTCTCATAGGTGCTTTAATACCTGAACCCCAGTTGACGTAAGCCCTGTAAGACACCTGTAAACAAGTGTCTTAACCGCTGTCCCTGCTGCTCTGCTAAAGTCACGTTAGCATTAGCTCCCTCGCCATGTGTCTGCACTCAAACATGGCTTACCATTACACGCTTTTAAGCAACTTAGCGTGGATTTATCCAGTGTAATGATCCCGTACAGGTGCAGTTGGAGCTACCTTTTGAAGATGAGATACCCCTGAATCACAGTGCATAGGTCTGCCAACCCTCCCCGCTAATTCTGCAAATCCACTAATCCAGACGTTTTAGAAGAACGCAACGGTCGACACATGGAATAATTAAAGGCGAGAATAATTAACAAGAATATCCAAAGTGGTGAGAGTCAAACTGAGGGATTTTATTTACTGTGGTGGGAGAAAGTTTGAGACAGCCGACTTTCCTCTGATCCTCGTGTGTAGGGAGGTCACTCATTACTTGGCCAGTATTGATACTTTGCAGCTGATGTCATCAATATTTTTTGGGGGTGTGAAGCTATCTGAAAGCACTACTCTGTTAGAAGCTGTCACTCAAGTCAGACTTTAATCCGAGCTTTGTTTTAACGCAATCTGACCAGAAAGACCTGATTTGGTTGGAACTAGAACAGGTGAGCTGATTTTTACTGTTAAACAAGTTTCACATAATTATAAAAAATACGTCATAAATCATCATAAAATTACACAAGCCAACAGTTTTTCAGTTAGTCACTCTGACCTTTTTTGTTGGAAATCAAACTCCTAACTAGGACCATGAATGCTCGTATTGATCCCAGGCTGTTTGTTAATGTGTGTCCTGAAAATGTGTTTTTTAAAATCCATTTTGTATTGTATTGATTGATTGATTGATTGATTGATTGATTAATTATTTTTATTATTATTAGTAGTAGTAGTAACAGTAGTAGTAGTAGTAGTAGTAGTAGTAGTAGTAGTAAGAATTTATTTAATTATTTTTTTACTATTATTATTATTAGTAGTGGTAGTAGTAGTAGTAGTAGTAGCAGTAGTAGTAGTAAGAATTTATTTTATTTATCTATTTTATTATTAGTAGTATTAGTGTTATTATTTGTATTAGTATTATTTATTTATTTTTATTTAATTTTTTATTATTATTTTTTTTTTTGAGTTTCCAGATGATTGTAAAACTTTTTGGCTGTGTTTGTTAATGCGTGCAAAGTGTCACCATGGTACCTGAACAATCCGCAAATAGAGATGCATGTACCACACCCCCAACGTGAGGTCACTGCAAAGTATCAATTGATGATCTTAACTTTTCATCGATACTGACCTTTGCATACCTGAAAATTTCTCACGTTCTGTAAATTTAGGGATGTTCTGACCCATTAAAATTTATTGTCAGACTTAATCCTCCAATCCTCCAAAACCAATTTTCTTCACTCTCCTGTTTGAGGCCAAATTGCTGCTTACTGTTTCCCACCCATGTTCCACAATAGCCCTGGGTACATTTATAGTTCACACCATATTTAGTTTGGGTTACTCCCCACTGTCTATGTGTCAAAAGCCTTTTGTTGGCAGTATTCAATTATTTATTTAACGTTTATGTTTCTTACAACTTGAGAGATTTCATGTTTTCTCAATTTTGTGGTCTAGATTTTCAGACAGGTCTTGATTTTCAGACAGATTTTCTGCAAATTGTATGTTATTAGTCCAGTTACTCTTACTTGAATAGTACTTTCCCCAAATATATTTTTTCAATCTTCTTTGTATCTCTCCTCGAATAGTATCATTTTGAAGGTGCACCGTGTAACAGTCTGCCCACAGCTTGTCTCCATGGAGATGTTATTGCTTTGCCTGGTATGTTCCGCATTCTGACATTAAGCATATCTGTTTGCATGGTAACAGGCAAGTAGGCAAATCTGTGGAGATGTTACCCTGCTTACTAGGGATGTAACATATCCAAATCTCTTGGTACGATATTATCACGATATGCATCTCACGATATTTATTGCGATATTTTGAAGATAGGACCGTTTTAAAATACCTTGACAGGATTTTGGTGTGAATTATTTCTGTCATAAACCCAAGAATTCAAGTAAAAAACATATTTCTTCATGTTGTCTGCACTGAAATGAATCATGGGATATGTAGTTCCCGATGTCATAAGCTGTTGCTACTATAAAACCATACATTTAATCAAAGGAACTTGTGATTTGATATATTGTGACAGACCATGATATTATTGTGAGACTTGTAATGATATGATATCAGAATATTTTGGTTACTGTTATATCCTTACTGCTTACAATATGAATGCATTTTTTGTTGAACTTATGAGCAAAAAAATGCATATAATTGTATTGAAAGTAAGATTTTAATTTAATGTCATGCTATGGAACATTGA